ATTCAGATCCAACATGTTCTGTTCTCCTTCTCCTTCCCTTCCCTCCCTCCAAATTAAAGCTCACCTCCATTTGGAGCCATCCCCAGTCAGACCTTTCCCTTGCTGTAACAGAGAAATTCATGCTGTAGTGGATATATAAAAATACTGCTGGATGACAAGCCATAAATGTGTGTACTGACGCCCGGTGAGATACTGCTGCAGTGTTTAATGCATTTATTAACCATGTAGTTCTGTGATTTGCAGGAGCTGGATGCATAATTAGAATATAGCATTTCTGGACATAAATTCAGGGCTATAGTGTCTGCAAAGGATGGAGTTGGAAGGATTTGGGGGATGGAAAGCAGAGAGTTACCAGGTTTAGGAGGATCTTATGATAGTTATTAGGTGCAGGGTAGGAGGACTAGTTAGGGTGTGTATGAGCAAGGACATGGGATTTAACTCATCTGTGCTGCATTGGGATCAGAAGGAAATACAGAGCTCCACAGAGTCTTCTGTAGGAGAAACATCTCTATAAGCAATATTCCTTTCTCCTTTCAGGAAACCACTAGCCCTTCTGCTGGTCCCGATTTACCTTTCTTTCTAGGAAAGAAATAAGTAAAATTTTGCCTCTCCTCATGAGAGATTTTTTGTTTTCTGGACATGCAGTTGGTTTCTCTACTAGCCCTTGATCACATCTAATATTTTAATATTTTAATTCTAATATTAAAAGCTAAAGATTGCAAGACCAAAACAAAGCTGGTGTGTGACTAACAAACAGGATACTGAAGTCATTAGGAGGTGCATAAATACAGTTATCTCTAAATATCATCTGTTGCTTGTGCTACTACAGTGAGAAGATTCTCTGGAAAAGCGGGTGTTTGTTTTTACAAAATGTAAAAGCTTTGTTGAGTTCAAGCCTGTTGGCAATATGGAAGCAGCTTCACCAGAGTAGCTCACCCTGCTGAATTATAGTTCCCTGCAAAGCTGGAGTGTCAGCCCATCTTACGGAACTTTGTTTTATAGTCTGAGGCACGTCACAACTCAGTATGTAAGTCATTAGAAAATGCTGTTTTACCTCAGTAGAAAAGAACTCAAAGCTCCTTCCGTACACTTGATCATTTTAAGCTGATTTTCTTTCACTGTTTTTTTTTTAATTTTAAATTATTATTATCACCCCAGCACTTCTTGTTGGTTTTTTTTTTTTTTTTAATTTAATGATGGAATCCCCATAGATCTTTTTGTCACCAGAGAACAGCTTTATATGAAAATTCAAAAAAATACAAGTTTGAATACAGACAGCTTAGCCATTTGCGTGTGCTGTTTTACTCCTGTGGAGTTAGGTACTTGTAGAACCTTGAAGGTACCTTCTTGCCTGCTTGTTAGGCAAGTAGGATACCTGCAGTAGGGGTTGGCAGTGAATCTTTGGCATCTTGCATAATGTACAACTCATTTCCCAAATTTATTGGTGATGCAGATATTCCTTGTCAGAACTGTCTGCAGCTGTAGGTGATGGGCAGTCATTTCTCTTGTTTAAATTTTTTAAGATAATAGAAGATGTTATAAAGTAAATAATCCAACAGGCGAGGATATCCTCTGTTATTCAAATGCCTGTCTCCTGGTCTGGGTGTATTTCCCCTAAGCCTGTCAGCATAACCTCCAAGCCCTGTTTTTTTCCTTGTTACTTCTGATGAGCTGTTCACTTCAGTGTAGCACATAAAGGGCGGTTCTGCTGTGAGTAGGGTTGGTTTTGCCTGAGAGCTAGGGCAGGAGGAATGTTCCCCTTTGGTTGTAAGTAAAGAACATACACTTTCTACAGCACTCTCTTCAGCATGTGGGTTTGGGGTTTTTTTCCCATAACTTGTGATTTAGTGATGTACTGTTGTATTACAGTAGTGCAGCCTATGCCAGTATTTCCATTATAAGCCATTTTTGCAGGTTTATAACTCAACACTAAAAATGTACTCTCCCAATTTGAAACTTGGCAGATAATGTCTCATCTCAGCCTCGGAATGACAGTTTTTCCTTTCCCTTTTACTTCCCCCCAACAAAAGGTTGCATTTTTGCTGTATTTTTAAATAGGAGGTACTATCCTTACTGCTTTGATAAGAGAAGAGCCTGCCTGATTATTAAAATTGCTTTTCAATTCTAAGAGAGGAGGTTGTTATAATAGAAGATGCATTGAGTAAGTGTTGTTGATGTTACAATGTCTACAATAAGTATATGGATACACAGAAGTATCACCTCCCAGATGAAAGCTAGGGAATGTTGATCAGAATGATTGAAAAGATTTTTTTATGGTGACTTTTTTTTTTTCCAACTGTTGATTTTACCCTTAAAATAGTGTCCTCAAAGGTAAATAGGTGTTAGCTGCTGCACTCTATTGTTTGTCAGGCAGAATGAAGTAAAGGAACACTTTACTGCATATAAGCAAAATAATGATATTTCTGTCTTTTCTCATTTGATAAACACAGTACAAAAGGAATATAAATTCCTACTTCTGTGTTGAGACCAACTATCATGAGTAAGCAGAGCTGTGAATCCAGAGCAGGCATAAGCAGCAAAGCACAGTGTTCCCAGTGAACAGACACTTGTGTGGAGTAGGAAATTTAGCACTGAGTGACAAACCAAGAAATAGGAGGGCTTGTATGATCCTTACAGTTGACACTGTCAAGATCTGAGCCTCTGAACCTGAAGCTTTATCAGAAACCTCACATTCCAATTCAAGGTGGGGTGTTCAGGACAGAAGAAAATCAGGATTTAAACCCAGTTTCTCCTTCTTTACCCCTCTGCTTGGAGCCAGCCATGTAGGAGTTGAAATCTACCCAGGTGATTTTAAAGGAAGTTTCCTAACCACTGTGAGTGCAACCACTGCTACAAACATTGGCAGGAAAGCTTCACTGGGATGATTCCTCTTGTTGCAGATTTACTTCCAGGGGTTTCTTCTTCTATTTAGACAGTTAAATTTATGCTTACCATTACCACTTTTATGGAACTAATTAGTAGAAAAAAAAAAGAAATTTTACGAAGGGCGTTAATGAATTGAGCTGTTATTTTGTCATATATATAGAAACTATCAACATATATACAGTATGTATTCTTACTATAGCTAAGTTGTCTTTCTCTTAAATCCCAGCAGCTTTACTTTTTCAGTTGTCTCTAATATATTTATGTATCATTAAAATGATACATAAGAGAGAATGTGTTTCATAATGAGAAGTTCACTTCCTTCATTTGAATTCTAAAATCAGTAATTAGGTCAAAGACTACTTTGTGTCCATTGGCAGACCAGTGGCTCTTAGATATAAAATAAAACAGCTGTAATTTTTTGAGGGCATAAAATCAGAATGCTCAGCACTTTCTCACATCAGCTTTAGTCCAGTCCATCAGTGCCAAAACCAGGGAGATTCTGCAGTGTAAAATTAATGCAACACAGTGAGATTCAGATCTTCATTTCTTGCAGAAAATAAGTTGCAAGTCCAGCAGAACTTTCAGGTGGAAATATCAG